GAAGGCGGGGGGGTTTTCTCGCTGGATTTTCTTTTGTGAGCCGTTTTTCCATCAGCACAAGTTTTGCATCAGTTTCCAAGGAGCTGTGGCGCTTTCGGGCGCGCCAGGAGGCTCGCTGGAAGTAAGGCTTCCACTGCAGTGTTACCTGAGATCCGTAGGTAAAGCTGCAGCGGTAGAGCAGAGCTGTTCTCGTGCTCCCCCCTCCTTCTATTGTCCAGACCTGAACTCCTTCGAGATAAAACTTTCCTCCGTGACTGTTTGACTCGTGTAGTTTTTCTAGAGCGCAACTCTTTTATCTTGGGTAGCATTGATTTCTCTTTAATCACCACCTCATCCGGTGTCTCGCTTCAGAAGTGTTTGCTTTAAAACTGTTTTATCAAGGCAACTCTGTCAGAAATGAGGTCTCCATATTTCTCTTGTATGGCCTATTTTTTTAGTGATCTGATTTTTGTTTCTTCTAGAGCGGAGTAGTTAAAATACTTCTAAAGGTCTCCGATTAAGCAGTTTGTTTTCTCAGAGCCTTAAGTACGGGAAGCCCAAATTAGTGCCTCCTCGCTTCTTGCCTCAGAACACTAGTCTGGTGAGAATTAGGCGTAGTCACATGTCTGGTTTTTTTTTTTACACTCTGAAAAGGTGGTGTCTCAGTGTTGTTTTCACGTAAAAAAAAAAATAATCGTGTCTTACTAATTTTTGCAGTTCAGGTTGCTCTGCTTGTTTTAACAAGTTGCTCATCATGTTGGATGATACTGAAAAAAAAAATCTGCAGCATGTGAGATCATATATTCTAATGGCAAAAATCAGTTTATCAGCTGTCTTCACCGTAGTTCCTAGGAAAGCTGGTTTACTTATAGTTGTTATTTTACTGTAGAAATTTCAGTATGAGTCTCAATTACCCATTGTCTTCTGAAGATCTTGGTGCATGTTCTGTTTACCCTGTGAAAGCTGTCTCCTGTTGAAACTTTGAAAGCTGCTTCTGAAAATGGTTTTACATTTTTGCCTAGCTGGCAGTGAGTGGCCTCTCTGGCTACAGACTTCTTCTGTCTGCTTCTTGCACCTAAAATGATATGTAGCTGTGCTTTTCAAATGATCCTGTTTGACTAAGTTGCTTTGTTAAAGTATGTGAAGAGTTCATATGGGAAACGCTGCTTTGGAAAATGACCTAGAGGTTTTACTGGTGCTGCTTAATTTTTCCCCTTATTGCGTAGGAATTTTCCCATTCCATGTAAAAAGTAATTTTTATGAAAGGCTTTATTGCCTGTTCTTTTGGAAATGAGAAGAGTTTTGAACCCCTACTTAAGGTTGACATAGGACAAGAGAATGAAGCTTAAGACATGATAACGTATTGAAGGGGGGTGTGTGAGAAGTGGAAGTATATTGCACATTCCTTGAATAAAAATTCTTTAATACTGTTGGTGCTTGTTTCATGTGGCATTTGTTATGAAATGAGTTACAATATTCCAGGAATCGATAATTCTTAGCAAATAAAAGGCTCTTCCTGTTGGATAATTTTAAATACTATCCCCTGTTAAGGCTACTTTGTGTAAAACATTTCCTGTGTGTGAGGCCCACAAGAGGAACAGGAAGTAAGAGAAATGGCTCTGGGGTAAGTTTGAGAGTTTTGGAAACTTGGGAGATTCCCTGTTAGGAGATTCCCTGTTACCGTGCTTTGCTGGAAATATCTTTTTAAGGTTATGAAAATCGCTGGGTTAATGTATGTATTTTAGCTGAAGAAATGTGTACTCCTATTTAGTAATTCTAACAGAATGATTATGATTCTTAAAACTGATATGTGCAGATGGGTTTAATTAGTTCATTACTGCTGGCCCTCAAAGTGCAGCAAAACCCATCTGTCTTCGTTGGTGACCAGACACCAGGGGATTGCAAAGCCTGGCATTCTCATACAGAGTGTTCTTTAAGTAGTTCAGCTGAAAAAAAAGAAACTATCGCGTGGCTTCCTGGCAGCAGCCATTGGATCAGACTGTAACTCCAGCTGTAAATTGCTGGGTTATGATGACATGGCAGGTTGGTTTTGAAGAGGAAGTATGAGGAGCTGAGCTGGCTTATACTTGTGTTACGGCTTATTTGTGGAGCTGGTAAAACATGAATGAGTTAATAAGATCGAGCAGTATTTAATTCCCTGAAAAGTTACGAATTGTTGCAGGAGGGTAGGGAAGGAAGAACTAGTAAATGCAAGTTCTCTAGCATTAAATAATTTTGTAGAATTGTTCTTGAGTACTTCAGATTTCGTATTGCTGTTTTAAGAACGACTGCCCTGCCTTCTGCTTCTCTGCCATGTTTCCTTAAAGTTGCTGCAGGTCTGTTAGCCAGCGACTTTTTGATCCTTTACACTGAAATTATGGTCAGCTATTTGAAAGATAGAGTTGAAGCAGGCAGTGCTGCATATATGTCAATCTAAAATGGTAATTTCTGCTCTGTTTTATGTTGCTGCTTTACAGTGGTTTGGCGTTCACAAAAAAACACTCTTCAGTGCAAGGGTATAACTGAAATCCTTAGACTGTCTTGAGCATTCCCACAACAGAGAGTAACATGTAGGTACTGTAATACTCTGGAAGATTACCCAGGTACAATAAGCCAAGCTGTAGACAAGTCATTCTGATTCCATCAATGAAACAAGTTGCTCTAAGTAGATGTATGTTGTGATATACAACGTTCACTGCTGACAAGAGCTAGCACGAGTTGCTTGAGGTACAGCTAACACTATTTTTCATGCTAGTTAATCAGGAAGTCTCATTTTAGGAGGTTGAAGCATATATTGTAGAGTTTAACTGTTTTTTCCTTCAGATCGGTGTTAGGGAAAAATACTATTTGTTTTCTTAAGTAGAAAATAATTGATAGAGGAATCTTGTGTGCAGGCATACCCCAATCTGGGAGCTGCCTGGACCTCTTCACCGCTCTTTCTAATTGCGCTCTGTTAGCCTGGCACTGGTCTGGCTCCAGCGGTGTTAGCGTGGCTGGAGGGCTGCTTTAAGCCTGGCACAGACTCTTAGCTTGGCTGAGAGAACAGCCCAAGGTCGGTGTGGTGTGTGCTGTCTGTCTGTAGTGCCGCTGGAGCTCTAGCATTAGTAGTCTTCACTATTGACTCGATAATTTCACAAGAGATAGCCTCTTTACAGCCTAGCAGAGGCTCCTTTGTATATAAGGTTGTTAAGAATTGCAGAAGTGAATATTGGTGATGGAGTTGACTCTTGACACTCTTGCTCTTGTTTTAGTCAGAGGTGGTGTTCTAATCGCATCGCTTTCCTGTGAAGAATGTTAGGCTGTATTAACTGTGGGTTTTTGGTCTTAGTCCCCCGTGGTACCCTTGCAAAAGGAGCAAGCTCCACTGTAGGAAGTGGAAGAGCTGCAGTTTTCTAGCACTGCTGGGTCTTGGGTCTCCACCATCACCATCTAATAATTTTTCTTTGTATAAACTGTCCTTGGCTCACTTGCAAAGACAACTGTGCACTTTGACTTGCTTTTTTTTCTTACTACTGTAAACTATGCTGGATATTTGTGGCAAACCTATCTAACTTTTTTAATCCTTTTCTTTCTTTTTTCTACAGCATTGTCCAAGATATAACAGTTGGTACAAAGGTAGGCACTTCTCACTTTTTCTCTCTTTTTACACTGCTCAGCATCTGACCTAGTTTTAGCCTCACCAAATGTAGATCTTTGGCTTTAAAGGGTTATTCCTGGTACCATGTAAATTGGTTTTAACCAGAAGATAAATTAGTTTCATGTGCATTTAAAACT